TTAATTTAAACCTACTCCTCAGGACTATGTTTGATACTGTTAGCTGGGCACAATTGTAACTAAGAATATCATAGCCCCCAGTAGGGAGACTATGACTATTGTTTTGTTAAACATGCATAGTAAAATTGCCTCCTAAACATTTGTATTCACGCTATAGACTGCTGCTACTGGGGACCATATTAAAAAGAAACTTCTTTTACAATAATAGTGATTACTGTGGAAGCTGAACTGATGAGACTGTTGCTATGACACAGAGGCTCATCGCTCAGAAAAATATCTTTCATTATCCCCTCCAAGGAGCTGACATCAAAGGAAGGAAGCCAGAAAGAATGTTAAAGAGTCAGAAAGATGCAGTGTAGCTGGCTGTTTCCTCTGAGTTGGAGAAGACCACTGCCAGCCACAAGAGACTGGCAAGAGGCCTCTTTTCCTGGAGGCTGTAAAGGTAAATAATTCAATGTGGCCTACCACGTATTGGACACATGAGACTCTTCAATGATGCAGCTGCCCAAAGGTCTACTATGTTCCTGGAAGCAATCTCAAGAAACTAACTCTATGGTTCACCAAGCAGGATTTCAATGGAATCCTTTCTTTATTCTATCAGTGTTATCCCAATCTAGGGTAATCAGGTGTTTAAGTCTCTCCATGGAAAGTCATAGACCACTACTAACACACACACATAAAATACAACTCATGCAATCTATATCTGATGCAAATGTGAATTCATACATCATTCGGTAATTCTAAAGGTTGGGAGCTGCTGTAGTACACAAGATGCAACACAGTAAAACTTTATGTACAGAGCCTTCTGTTACTTCCTAAGGTAACAGTTGCCTTAATGAAGCAGTCTTCAGATCAATGAGCCTGCTTTTAAACCAGGAGGAATACAGTTTACAGATGTCAAAAGGTACAAAAATTACATTTCCAAGGTGTTCTAATTACTTTAACATTCTGTTCTGATCAACAGTCACAAGCCAATACTTTCCTTAGTAAAATAAATTCCATTACTCATTTGCATAAATATGCATGTCACATACGGCATTTTATATCTGAGAAACAAATGCTAAAGTACAAAATTTCCTATTATATAACTATTAAATTCTCCTGGTAATTACATGTTTAATTTCCTATCATCTGGTTACATAGTTCAAAAGTTTGGTGTTATTACAGAGAACACTTCGTTCATATCTGTTTTAAGAGTCTAAAGCAATCCCATTAGGAAGCCAGAGAGAGATCTCTGTGAGTTAAAGGCCAACCTGATCCACTTAGTGAGGTCTGGGGACATCTAGGGTTCTAGCCCATAAACCAGCAAAAAAACAAAGTCTAATGTTACCTATTAATCTTTTGTCTAGAAGTCCAGTAGCAAGCTATTTTCCACCAGTCCTTATTTCTCTAACTTGGAACTGTAATACATTTATTGTAATAAAAATGTATTTTATTATTCATATATCACTTTCCTATATATGAAATCCTACCTATAGATCACTTCCCTTCTATACAATTTAGGCATAATATTACAGCTATTTCAAGTGACACATAAAGCATAAATTTAGTCAGTTAAAAATAAATCTGGATACAATAGTATCCATTAGCTTAATGCATTATCTTTTGAACCCTACATACCAAGCCTAGTCTTTTTCATGTAGACTATTGCTGTATAGCACAGGGAGATCTTCAACTATATAGCTCAGGGCCAGACCAAATTCAAGATCCTTCTATGGACTGGGATTACAGGGTTTCCTTTTTCTTAATTCTGTGTCATTAAGACTTGAAAACACATGAACTCCTAGCAGAAAACAAGCAGAATAATCACATATGTAAGGCTAGGAATTCCCTTGGGGAATTGGTTGTTTGCTTGGTTTTTCTGGTCTTCTGTAATTCCTCCACTACCATCCTGGTGCTAGGAATGAAACCCAGGGTCTCATGAGCTCTACCACAGGATAGTCTCCAACACTAAACCTGGTCTACACAGCAAGTTCCAGGCCAGCCAGAGCTACAACAGACAGACAAGCAGCAACACAAGAATCCTGATCTTAAGATCTGTAGTCAGAAATTCAGAGTTGATAGTACAGTGACTCCTCACTACAATTGTCACAACAGTCATAATGTAAGAGTAAACCCCAGAACAAAAGGCTGTGGTTCAGGCAGACCTGATTCCAAGGCACAGTGATTCACTCACTAACGTGTAACTCAGGTGGACATGTTCAACACCTCTTAACCTTAATTCCTTCAATTCTATTTCTTTCATTTTTTTTTTCCATGACAGAGTTTCCCTGTGTAGACCTGGCTGTTCTGGTACTCTGTAGATCAGGCTGGCCTTGAACTCACAGAGATGTGCTTGCTTCTGTGTTCCAAGTGCTGGGATTAAAGACATGCGCCACCACCACATGGCACAATTTTATTTCTTTAATCTCTATTAGTAATAAATAACCATACTATGCCAAAAGTGCCCCCAATATGTTCTCCATGTAGCTATCATTTCAAACATAAATTTAAGTCACGTTTGTAGGTGAAGGTAGGCTTATGCTGATGGAAAACTGAGGACCAGGGCAGAAGAGATGGCTGGCGATACAAAGCCCAGGACCTGAGTTCTGACCCCTGGTGCTCATCTAACAGCCAGCATGCGCACCCCAGCACCGGGAAGCCGAGACAGGAAGATCTGGGACTTGCTGGATGGCCAATTTTGCCAAAATGGTATTAGTCTAGGTTCAGTGAGAAATCCTGTCTCTAAAAATAAGAGAAAGAGGCGCCAAGAAGGACGAAGGATGCCGACCACTGCCCTCCACACACATGCACACCCACACAAATACATGCAGGGACATTTTTTTAAAGTTCACAAAAAAGGATAACTCACATCTGAACCAGAAGCTTTCTTCATTGCACTCCGCAAAGACTCTCCTTTCTTCCTCTGTCGGAATGTAATCAGCCCCTATGTCTTTTGGAGAAAAACTGGAAGTCATTTTCTTAAAAGCCTGAAAGTTAGCTTTGTCTACTAGTAATAAGAACATCTAAAAACAGATAAATAAATAGACAAATAAAGCGATGAAGTAACTGGCTGGTCAGCTTTTTAAAAAACGCTGACCTCCAACAGAATTTATTCTTACTACCTGTTAAGACAGGCTGAACACACTGATAAATGAAAATACGGAAAACCAACCCCCGCCCCGCTCAGATAATGAGGAATTTTAAGACTGCAACAAGACACTGTCAAAGCAAGGATGAAGCCCTGCCTGTGACTGCGCCGGCATCACACCTGTAAAGCCAGCCCAGCTGCTACTGTTACTCAAGCAACAAACATTTCCTTACACCGAAAGCGCTACTAATTATAAATATTTAATATGATAGTTACGGGGAATCGGTCTTGGAACTTCAGCATTCGGCTCTCGAAACTCAGCCCTCCCGTTCATAGCTCCTGCATCAAAGACAGTCACATCCAAACATTATAAGGTATTAGAATAGGTTAAATATCTATCATCAGTCTACCTGCCAGTCAACAAATATCTACTTTAAAACATTAAACTTTGAAAAACTTATTTCATGTGCATGGATGTTTTGTTTGCACGCCCGGTGCCTGAGGAGGCCAGAAGGTGCTGGAGTTGCAGATGGTTGCGATACTGTGATAATGTGGGGGCTGGGAGCGGAACCAGGTACCCGGTTGGAAGAGCCAGTGCTCTTCAGACCCTGCTTCAAACCGCTACATTTCAACTACCTGACATAACTTCATGAGGAAAAAGGGCATAAACCTACTATTTAAACTAATTATTCAATTCGGCCCTTTAATTGAAAAACAGGTATACAAAAACAGACAAAATTTCTCTTCTGAGGCGAGGTTATTTCACATTAGTCTGTACCATGGTTCAAAATACAAAAAATAGACAAACAACGCCCCCCCCCCACGCACACAACTATGTCCAAATGGTTGAGAAAAAAAACCCACGCTATTTCTAGGCTTTCAATTAATCAAAAAAAAAAAAAAAAAAAAACCCTGCATCGTCTCCCATAACTCAGCAGTCAAAAAAAAAAAAAACAACGACGTCACAGTCTCTCTAGAGGTGGCTGCTTCCTAACAGCAAACTACTAATCTTCTAATTGTCCCAACACCGGCCGCAAATAATCTTCAAATAAATGCGATTTTATATCCAAGCGCATTCCAGGAACATATACTGATATTTCCTTCGTCTAAGGATTTCAGATAACGAGTAATCTCCACGTTTAAACAATAGCATAAAAACGTGGTATGAGATGCACGATGCCAAGAGCAAAGTACCTTTCGGTAATTCGTTTAGCGACTAAGAAAACACTGCATACCCATCCGTCAGAGGAAATAGTATCATAAAAGGTATCTTGGTGGGATGAAGCATTCGGAGGAATGCTTCTCAAATTGCAAAACGTACTCTAAAAAAAGAAAGAAAGAAAGAAAGAAAGGAAGAAAGAAAGATAGATCTTCCCCACAAAGGTTGGAGGGCCGTGAGATCAGTCTCAACACTACATCGTACAGCGCCCAATTCCAAAATAAAAAAATAAAAGGCTCAGGCGAAGCCTGGCCGTGGCCGCAGACTCCAGCACTCCTGCCCCGCACCTGTCACCCCACCTCGGTCACACCACCTTCCCCACCCGTGCCTGCAGGCCCTCGCCGCCCCGGGTCCCCCGCGCTGCAGCCGAGCCGAGGCCCGCAGCACGACCCGACGCCTCCAGGCACGAAGATGGCGGAAGGTGCGAGGCGACGGCGGGCGAGGGTGGGAGACTGGCAGACAAGCTGGGGACCGCTGAGCCACCACACCCACCTCCTCACGATGGAGGTGGCAACGCGGCGAGCACGCGCCCGGGCAGAGGCCGGCGGAGGACCCCAGAGGCAGGGACCGCGGACAACGCCGAGAAGTCACCCAGACACAAGTCCCCGCGGATCGCGACCCGGAAGCTTTGCCTTCGGCAGGAAATGACGTTGAGCCGCTCTGGGGGTAACTGCCCGAGCCGCCTCTCAACCCTCACGGTGGCGGCCCCGCCCCCTCGCACCCCCAGGCTCCGGAGCTGCACTGCGGCTGCGCGGGGTGTGGGGTTGGCACTGCTGCTCCGCCCTGCCCCGAGGTTCGATGCTCTTGTGAAGTACCCCAGTGATTGTGCTGTGACCGGCCGGTAGGGACGTTCTGGAACCTCCCCTCCCCGCCCCCGCTCATCCCTTTGACCTTCCTTGGCTTTCCCTGACTCTTCAGCTTTACCTAAATCATTTTATTCTTCAGGCCTCTAGTCTAGGGAGTGGATTTTAAGCGTGAACACCCAGTTAACTGTCAGAAACTCCAGGCTAGTGGCTGACCCATTCTAGAACCGGAGTCGGAGTACATTCCCACTCGGAGACTCGGAATTTGCACAGCGGAGTAAATAATGCGTAAGTCATCGTTTGGATGAAAACAAGTATGAAAAGGAGTTCAGGCTCTCAGGCTCTATGAACAGGACAGTGTATTTTAATGTAGGGAGACTGACTTTTGTCCCTCAGACGTCAGGCCGCCACCCCCAACCACCAACAATTCATTTTCTTTCTTTTGCCCTAGAGATGTTCGCTGAGTGCCTATTCTGAACCAAGTACAGAAAGTTTATCGTTGACTGGCAAGGAACAGCCCAAGCCCCACCCAGTTATGAACTCCGATAAACGTCAGATTTCTCTTTTCTTTCCTCATGTCATTTTTCCCCCACTGCCTCTATGCTATAAGCCTGTTTAACAAAGACAGCCATGTAAGCGCTGATCAGGAGTCATGGCTAGGCTTTTGTGCCTCTTGAGCCTCACACCAAAGAAAACACAGCCTGTTTGCTGTGCTGTCCCCACCAATACATACACGGAGACACACCCTTGTAGATTGCACAGGTTTCAAAACCCTGCCTTATGCCACCTCCTCTGTGAAACCCGAAAACACCAGACAATCGCCTTTCCTTAGTGTTCACGTTGTACAAACTTCTAGCACCACAGGGTAGCTCTGGCAATACGGTATTTTGTTGTTGTTGCTTATTTCTTTCACTGAGACCATTTAGAAACAGCTTTACAAGTATGTATACTCCCACATACTTGAAGATAATCTTTATAAATATCCCCTTTTCTTGCGATGAGTTATTCTGAGCCTAGGACGTCTGCAGTTTCCGTTCTCTCAAGACGTGTCACTGCTCTCCCGGCGAAGATGCTTTCCTGGCTGCCTAAAGTGACTCTCCAGTCACCTTGTGTGTGACTTTGTTTTTTCTTTTCATGGCATTTCCGGTGGCCTGAAATTGTCTGTGTGCTGTGTCTCTGTCTTTCCCCTCCTCACTGAAATGAAAGGTCCATGAAAGAAAGGAATCATGATAGCATCAAACTTATTATCGTATAGTATAAAATTAACAATATTAACTTTTAATGGATTTATTGGGTGCATTTTTATAATATAAAAGCAAATATAAGAAAATTAGAAGACAAAAGAGCTCTTTCTTTGGAAGTAAATTCCCAAACATTCAAATTAAACTTCCCTTTCCTTTATTTTTCTTTTCTTTCTTTTTTGTTTGTTTGTTTGATTGATTGATTGATGTGGTTTTGTTTTGTTTTTTTTGAGACGTGGTTTCTCTGTATAACCTTGGCCATATTTAGCTTTGGAGCCTACCATGAAATTCATTCGGTAGACCAGACTGGACTTGAATTCACAGAGATCTGCCTGCCTCTGCCTCCTGAGAACTGGAATTAAAGGCATGCCCCACTACCACCCGGCTTTCTTTATTTTTCAAACTAAAATTTTATATTGGGTAAACTGTTACTTTGTAGTTGTGCTGACATTTAAAGGTATTGGGCCTTTTGATAATTTGTCTTGATACACTAGAATAATTCAAGCATAAATTAAGACCGAAGGTTTTCCTGGAAGTTGATGCTCTTTTGATGGAGAAAGGCTACAGGACTTGTCAGCCATCTGAGACCCTTAGTACACTCACCTTAAACTTGGAAATCACCAGAAAGCGTGCTTCTTAGATTAAGTTAAAGCACTACTGATGTAGAACTCTGTGCTCAGGCACAAAAGCCTTGGGTTCTAGTCTTAAAGTCAGAGTGCTGTCGTTTACCTGGATACCCTCAGAAGGCTGCTTCCACTCAAGTGCCTTCCTGGAAATGCAGAGAGCTCAGGAGGCACCTCACTTCCTCAAAGATACATGATTGCTTTTATATGCTCGGGGCAAAAATGCTATAATCCAGTCGTATAGCTGCTGGCCAACTGCCCATGATTTTGAAAGTCACTTTAATTAAGCTTATTAGTTCACCTAGCTAGACTTGAGTGGAATCATTTCTTCCATCTGCCGTGACTCTCTGAGATGAATAGGAAGACACACCCCTGGGACAGTCACTTAACAAACACTCTTCCAGACACTTCCGCTGAGTGAGCATCCAAGAGACGTCACCCTGTTTTTACCTGTTAGACGTTACTTTTTGCTTTCAGACCACACTTTGTTTGCTTGTTTGTAAATATTTATTTTTATTTATGCGTGTGGCTGCATGAATTGATGTGTACCACATGTGTGCAGGAACTGGAGTTACAGGCAGTTGTAAACTGCCTGATGTGAGTGCTGGGAATTGAACCCAGGTATTCTGAAAGAACAGTAAGTGCTCTTAGTCTCTGAGCCATCTCACCAGCCCTGTTAGCCGGTGAGACATCAGCTTGAAATGATTATAAAGGAACAATTCAGAGGATTCCTTAATTCATATAAATGAAACCAAACTAGTAAATTGCTTTTTGACTTCAGTGACATAAGTTTCTCTTTTTAGCTGAACTCTATCTTAATTTCTATTGTTTTTGTGTGTATGGTGTGTGCTGCAGCACTTTTCAGAGGTCAGAAGATAACTTTTGGGAGTCAGCTCTCCTTCCACCTTGGGGTCAGGGGATCAAACTCATGTTGTCATACTTGTGTGACAAGCACTTTGACTTGCTAGATAATCTTACCATCACTGGATGGACTTTTGGAATTTAAAATCGAAATTATTGTTGATTTTGTGTGTGTGGTTTATGTGTGTGTCTGTATGTGTATGTGAAGGGGCACATTTGTGTGTGCATACATGTTTAGAGGCCAGAGATTGACTATGTGTGTTTTTCTCTATACACTTCACCTTATGTAATAACAATTATTCAATGTGTTTGTGTTCTATGAGGACAGGTATTCCTTCTTAGTTCATAGACTACTCAGTGTCCAATTACAAGACAGAAGCCTGCTATTTCCATGCCTTTGGTATATGATAAACTTGGTGTGTTCTTTTCCCTGGAAAAGAAGAATGAAAAGAATTAGAAGTCCTTTGGAGTGAGCTTTATGCTAATGCAAAATCTGGTTTTTATTTGCCTATTAATGAGCCTTAGAGATTTTCATTGTCAAAAAAAAATGCAGTGTTATAGAAGCCAGAAGGAAAGAATATTCCAAAAAGGAGGGTATTCAGTCAGAGATAGCAAATGCTGATGAGGACCGGGAATCACACATGAACTGTATCAATAAGGTTATCGATAACTTTTACAAGTATCATTTCATTCAAAAATCTAAATTACAGGGTGGGGCAAAAAAATCCGGATTACAGTGGACTGGGAAAAGAATGGCTGGGGTTGATGTGTGGGAAAGTATAGTTTGCTCTTTCCAGAACTTTAGCTGCTTGGAGAAAGCAGACGTAAATGGTAGCTGAGGGAGAATGCAAGAAAGAGGTGAAGGTTGGGCATTGTTTTATAATTCTGTACAGATTTGGGTCTATTAACAAATATAAACAACAAATAAAGAGAAGGATTGAAGTATGGAGAAGGGGAAATAGGAGGTAATAGGGGCTGCAGGGGTGTGTCCCTATTACTCTACAGGCTTCTGCAGGGGTGTGTCCCTATTACTCTGCAGGCTTCTGCAGGGGTGTGTCCCTATTACTCTGCAGGCTTCTGTGCTCTCACCACGCCTTTGGGCGGGACACCTGTGGCAGCATCTTCAGCAACTTTTGGGGGGGACTTCTAAGGGTTGCCAGGAGGAAACAAAGACTAACCCATGTTTCTGCATGTTATCCTCTCCAGGTGATGTTGGGGGGAATTCAGTTTTATTTGAGTCCTCGGTTGCAGAAAAATCAGAGTGTATTGGTGCCCACTATTGAAAAGGAGCTTACGAGGGAACTAGAAAAATATGCCACATTCTAGATGTCCTGGTTACGTGAACTGACCCCAAGAACTGCTTTGTGGAAGCAAGAGGGGCTTCATGGAAGCTGCTGCTGCAGCTGCAAGGAATGTCCTAGAGAATCTAAGTCTTAGTCTTCATATTGAGTAGCTGGGGGGACGGGGGGTCGCTCTAACAAGGTGATGTACAGCTCCATTATTATTTTGCCATTCCTGAAATATAAAGTTTATATGGATTCATAATTTCTTTGGGTTTTCATGATACTTATGCTAATAAGTAGAAAGACTTTTGAGTTTGTAAATGTTGGCAAATTGCCATTTTAAATAATAGATGATTATTGCATTCAGCATTTCTGTTGAAAAGAGCCATGGAGAAATCAGATGCCATTATGAGTGCTATTAGTCAGGAAACTTGAGAAACAGCTTGTTGGGATATAGAATCACCTAGACCCACATATGGATGTGTCTGGGTAGGAGTGTGCCTACTGTGAAGTCTAGTGCACGTGAGCACGAACACCACACATGCACATGTTTTAAAAAGAAGCCACTTTAAAGGGGCAATGTCAGTCATCTAATGTTAAAAGTATTTCAGTTTTTATCAATATTGTCTGTTGATATTTCCTTGTTTTTACTTTTATCTTCAGCATGTGGGGTATTTTGGTCAAACACGAATTTGTCCACTTTGTTGTAACTGTGAGGGGTCAACTCTTTGTCAAGTGTTAGGGAAAGAGACTTCCTTCCACATGGAAGCGAGTCTCAGGGAACTGTTTTCACTCTAACGCATAATTGAGAAGAAAGCTCTCCTGAATAGCCGGCTCTCACTCTTCCTGTGTGACAGTGACTTTCAGACAAAAGCAAGGAGAGGGAGGAAAGAAAAAAATCCTCCCCAGGAGGTGCCCCTGGCTGCGGTGCTCCCTTCTGCTGTCAATCAGCCGGGGAGCCATCTGGCCCACTTTAGATTTCTGGAGCCACCAAGCACATCTGCTGTGCTCTTCCAACGTCACGTGTAGAACCTGTCGGAAGCTGTGAGACGAACAGGAGAGAAGCTGAAGCTGGGTCCGTCTCAGTTCACGGGAAGACACTGAGACTAGAGCCACCAAGTGAATGGTTCACGTCATAACTCTAAGGTGTGAGAGACTGGGTCTCCGTGTTTCCGAAAGATTAGGGAGATGCATGTATTCACAAACTAGAACAATGTTTAAAATTCAAGCCCACTGTAAATATTCAAGTCGTCATTCACGAGTTCCTTGTTTTTGTTTCA